ATGGGAAACACTTGTTTGCCGAAATCAGGAAACAACACAAACGCACGGAGTCAACAACAGGAGCCAACCGCACATTTGTGGTTCCAGTTAGAAGACCTAGAATTCCCAGGCTACATCTAACATGACCACGTAGGCAGCTATAGCTACCTGCGTGACATCCGGGTCCAGGATATAAATACAGAGAGATATTTTATCGAGTGTGTATGATGTGTATGTCATCTAACATGTTCAATGTGTCTGATACGGGAATATTAGTGAATAAAGACATTACGTCGAATCTCACAAGGATGTCAGTCTGTTGGATGTTGAGGATTTTGAGTAGTTCAATGAAGTGAAATGAATCTCACCAAATTTCTTAAAGCACCCTCAACCTCATCAGTCACTGTATGTCCAGCACATACTTCCTCTTTCAAGATACTTTCTACAAACAAGTAAAGGACGCCCCCTATGGATTCTCCTCTTTCACCAGTCCTTGCAAACCTTTTCATGAAAGATTTCGAAACCAAGGCTATTGACAGGTTCGGCCACAAACCCTCTTGCTGGTTCAGATACGTAGATGACGTTTTTGTCATATGGCCCCACGGTTCCGAAACTCCTTGTAATTTCCTTTATCAGCTCAATGACCACCCAAATATAAAATTCACAACGGAAATTAAAATCAATAACTCCCCTCCATTCCTAGATGTCCTCATCACAAAATCCAATAACTCCTTCACCCACACGGTGTACAGGAAACCAACACACACAAACAGATACCTCAACGCAAACTACTACCATCATCCAACACAAACCAACTCCGTCTTGAATTCTCTCATCCATAGATCTATCAACCTCGTGGATCACCACAACAAATCACAAGAGCTAGCCCAACTCAAATCAGCTCTCCTTCAAAATGGATTCACAGACCATCAAATTGACAGATCCATCCATCGTCAACAAACTTCTTCGTCGAGTCCCAAATGATCAGAACTGTGATTATAGTTTGATAACCACCTTATCTGAGAGTATCGTGGATTGATAAATTGGTAGATGTAGCCGTTACTACGTAGTAGGAAATCATTATGAAAAATTAGACTTCCAATGTATTTATAACACTTTTAAAATTTCTACGGTGCTTGATGGTACTTTATTTTCAGTTTGAAGTAGTATGTGGCCAATCTAGCTGTACTTGATTCTTTCAATGAATTTATGGATGTAGCCGTTACTACGTGGTAGGAGATCATCATGAAAAATTAGAAATAAAACTTCCTATGTTTTTATAACACTTGTATAGAATTTCTGAGATGCTTGATGCTATTTTTTTTCAGTTTGAAGTAGTATGTGGCTTGTCTAGCTGTACTTGCTTATTTCAATTAATTTATAGATGTAGCCGTTACCACGTGGTAGATCATCATGAAAAATGAGAAGTTAAACTTCCTATGTCTTTATAACAATTTATTCAAGTGGTATTGAATCATTTCTCATTTTTCATAACATTACTCTATTTCTTACAAAAGAAGTGAACACATGTGAATATCACCATGTACCTATATTTTCAATGAACTACACATTCGGTATATTTACTTTATGTTTTATAAGGGCGGCTCACTCAATAACAGCTGAAATGATTTTCATGATCTTTGATCTGTTGGTTTTGCAGAATAACTACCAAAAAAATGGAAAAATCTTCCAAAGAAATTAATAAAGTAGTTAATTTCAGAATGAACTTTTTACTTAGATGTGTAGATCTTGCAGATAGGTAACTTCCAGACACAAACTAGAAGAAAACTCTTCTTGAAACATTTTTGTGTATAAAGATGGAGAAGTAGGAAGCCACAACCCTTCTTTTCCAAAAATTATTCTTTCCCAAAAATATACCACTATCGAAACATTTTAAAAAACATGAAAAAATTATACCTAATACCTATTCTCATACATAATAGTAAGTCATGAGTTATCCAGGGACAACTCGACCGACGATGTCCATGATATATGTCCATATATGTTTCAAATACGATCTTCACTATTGGGATCTTGGAATCTATGAGAAATTCGCAGATGGTTAAATTGGAGCAAAGTACCGCATTTACATG